AAGAAAGAAAGAAAGAAAGAAAGAAAGAAAGAAAGAAAGAAAGAAAGAAAGAAAGAAAGAAAGAAAGAGAGAGAGAGAGAAAAAGAGAGAAAAAAGGAAGAAAGGAAGGAAGGAAGAAAGAAAGAGAGGAAGGAAGAGAGAGAAAGGAAGGGAGAAAGGGAGAAAAGAAGGAAAGGAGGGAGGAAGAGGAAAGGAGGGAGGAAGAGGAAAGGAGGGAGAGAGAGAGAAAGGAAGGAAGGAAAAGGGAGGAAGGAAAGAAGAAAGGAAAGAAGGAAAAAAGAAAAGAAAGAAGAGAGAAAAAGGAAGGAAGGAAGAAGGAAGAAAATCTTTACTCTTGAGAAGCCTATATTTACTGTGTACAATATCTACACAAATAAGCAAATATAAAATATACACCTCTTAAAGAGGCAAGGTCTTGAGCCTCTGGGAACCAGTTACACTAGAGTGTCTGGACCAGTAGGAACTCACCTTCACCAGAGATTCTGAGTCTTGGGGTGCCAAAAGTAGACAGGACCTGTGGTTCTGGGGACTCAAAGATGGGAGCTGATATGCTATATATTCAAAGTATCTTCTGGTTGTTCCTTATTCCTCAGCGTGTGGGGAAACTGAAGCATATTGCACTTAAGTGACTTGCCCAGGGTCACACAGAAAGTACTTGAGACAGAATTTGAACTCAGGTCTCCCCAGCTCTAAGTTCAGGGCTCTCCATGCACTGCACCACCTAGAAGCCTCACCAAAGAAAGATTCTGACCATCAGTTCCATCTTCGCTTGAGGATATCTAAAGTCTTTTTCAGGTCAAGGTCTCAGATTGGAAGGGACCCCACATACCATCTAGTCCAACCCATATGTAAGCAGGCATCCTCTCCATGACATCCTGGACAAGTGGTCATTCACCCTCTGCCAGAAGACCTCCAGTGATGAGGAACTCACTACTTCTTAAGGTAGCCAACTCTACTTCTGAACAACTCAGAATAATTAGTGAGGTTTTCTTTACTTTCAGCCAAAATCTGCCTTTCTGCAGCACCAACCCATTGTGCCTGGATCTGCCCTCTGAAGTCAAGTGGAACAAATGTGATCCCTCTTCCAAGTGACAGACGTTCAAAGACAGCTAATGTGTCTGCCTTAAGTCTTTGCTTCTCCAGCTTAGACATCTCCAATTCCTTCAACCAATCCTTCCCTGGTCTAGTTTCACATCTCTTTACATCCTTGTCACCCTGCTCTAGACACGCTCCAGCTTGTCAGTGTTTTTCCTCTAATATGGTACCCCAAAGGAGGCAAAGCATAATAGCTCCCCACTGAGGCTTGGCTTTCTAGCAACACTAACTTGATAGAGATGGAATGGAAGGGATGCTTTACGTGCTTGGCTTGAGAGATGGCATCTTTTGGGAGTGTCCTGACTCTGAAACAAAACGTCTATCATAATTTCTGCCTACTGCTTGTGTTTCTTTCTGTTAAAACTTTTGATTTCATCAATGTAGGGAATTCCCTTCCCAGATGCAGATTGGCAACTCATCAGTGCCTTAAAGTCTTAGAGAGATGCCTGAGGCACTGGAAGGTAAGTGATTTGCTTGTAGTTACACTGCTCATAGTTATCACAGGCAGAACAGCTTGAATGCTTGCATTCCTGGTTCAAAGGCCAGTGTTTACTTTACCATATACCACTGTGTCTAATGCAACATGAAAAAAAGAAAGGTATTGAAAAGGACCATGAATTCTAATGGTATCACACAGGAATATGCTTTAGTATTTCAATGCATCGAGCATCTGGTAGTGCATCAAGCCTGGAGTCAGGAAGACCTAAGTTCAAATACAGCCTCAGACACTTGCTAGCTGTGTGAGCCTGGGCAAGTCATTCACCCTGTTTGCCTCAGTTTCCTCATATATAAAATGAGGTGGAGAAGGAAATGGCAAACCAGTCCAGTATCTTGGTCAAGAAAACCCCAAATGGGGTCATGAAGAGTTGGACATAACTGAAACAATTGAATGACAATGACAAAAGAAAAGAAGTACTTCAGAAGAAAAAACAGACAGCAAGTATTTTTACTTTCTAGGGAAAAGAGGGTCAGCCAATGCTTCATGAAACTATATGTCATATATATTGTATTATATATAATATACATATTATATATTATGTATAATTGGTTGTTGTCCATTCTGAAAGCGGATCAAAATGACATCACTATGTTAGAGTCAAGTTACAGTGTGTCTAACTGACTGATCAGACCAACACGAGCTTGGAATGCTCTATCACAGGTCGAGCACAAATAGTCCATGTGAACATTTGGGGTGGATTCTCTAAATTTGCACATC